AGACCTGTGGCCTAAATAGGCTAGCCCTTAATGTCAGCCCTATCCATTTAATGTAAAAAACAAGCATATTATACATTGGATGATCTCTAACTAACCCAAGGCCAAAGTTGCATCAAACTCAAGCTTGGGCAAAAAACATCAAAGTATGCAATTCAGCTCGGTCCCATTCAAATATAGAGCTTGTAGTTACCGCATGATGCAATGTGCGAACGGTTGGAGTTCATTTTGATCAATTTAATACCATTTTATCTCAAGATTGCCGATCGATGGCCTATCTACGAAGTGAAACACTTCAATCAATGATCGATTATCTCTCCGGATTTTTGCTACTGTATCGTAGCTAGATGGCTCAAGGGACACGAAAACCAGTTTCCACCGTAAACAACGACCCGTGGAGCCATGCTATTGCCCAATCAAACTAAATGTAGTCCAAGTGTAAAAAGAGACTAGCAGTAACCAAGCAGCGTGAGATTACAACGATTTCATGCACATGCTCACTAATTTGTCTGTTTATGATGACGAGCAATTATGTACCTTTTGGAAGTAATTCAATGTGTTTTCAACTAGACAGCCATGAAATAGGACAATTGTTTACTGCACACACAGTTTAACCCTAACAGCCAAACATCCTTTGTGGGTATCCACGAGGGAAATTTCAAAAATTCAGCTGATATTGTACACGGGCACCACGAGAAATGTAATGGAATCTTGCTGGAATTGAACCAGCTATCGCCTGTCTCAACTTGGAACGGTAGCCAAGCTATCCGAAACCCAAGCCTAGGTGGTGCAGTGGTATACCATTCCGGCCGTTCTCCCGAGTTGATTCTGGGTAGCTTAAATATCTATCGCGTTGGAGATAGGAGAAAGCACATTCGGACAACCATAGGGGTTCACACTTTTCTCTATGGTGGGCACGCAAGTGATAGGATTTTGCATTAGATGTTAATTACATATGCAGCTATCTAGCCATGACAAAGTACGAGAGAAAAAATATAGAGCAGATGACTCGATGTAAAAGAAGAGTACTCATGCCTCGGATTTCATTTGCAAGTACTGCTGCGGAGTTGTGGCGGCTTCTCCCTCACTCCAAGTCAATTCTCATCCGTGAATACCCACCCAGGAAAACCTCTCAAAAACCCCGAGTTATCCAGACATGCCGCAAGCGCTAACCTCGAGTAATATCTGCGGATGAAATATGGGCCCGCGTGCTCCAGACGTAAAAATAAGTTATTCTGCCTAATATACGCATCTTCCCGAGACACCTGTGCGAGCCCTTGGGCTGCCAGATAAGGATAATTCAAGATTTTATTAATCTAGACTCCGCTTGAGAGAGTGGCTCAGATGAAACACCGTTCCCCTATGCAGCCATGGCGGTGTTTTTAGTGTCACCTGTACTCCCCCAATCGAAGTCATGGTGCGCATATTACAATTAAATACGGCAAGCCCCTTGTTACCAATGACTGTTCTCCATTCTGTGATTGCACTCATCAATAACATTGTCTTGCCTACCAGTTCTCATTTCTCTCCTTTCCCACAAAAATACTTGTCTCGCCTGATCCGTGTAACTTTATCTTCCCGGGGGTATGCTTGTTGCCATAGTGTTGGAAAATATACTCTGTACGATATTATATGGATATATATGATACAGAAGACTTGATATTTTACAACTACACGAGCATTGGATTTATATATACATCTATGGAAGAAATCCCCACTAGTCTTGTGTGCCTGTCAAACCCAGTAATGACCAGCCACCTCTCATCTACCATTATGGGCCAAGGTACGGAGGGCAAGACTGAACACCTGTACGCGGTGTCCTCTACGAACCTGGGAGTGAAATATTCTCCCAGAGCCAAGTTCAGTCAAACTTCGCAATACCGAACAAGTTGGCCCACGAGGCAATGATTCAAATTACTCCACCATATCAATCTTTCAATCCCAACGAAATCGATTCCTACCTAAGCCTCATCAAGTTTACAGGTACGACCTAGTACATCCTTATTCCAATGGCCATACCTCTTTTCGACTTTCTCTGGCCTCAGCTGGTCACCAAACACACGCCCACGCCGATATTTACACCTGTATGAGGACACAAAGCGTGGCGCACAAATCTGGGAGACTGTTGTTTGAGATTGGCGTGAGAGGACTCAGGACAAGTTAACAAGATGATGCGAAGAATGAATACAGTCTCGACGGGCGTGGAATTTTGAAGTTTGGTAAGGAGTTTTTACAAATTGAGCTTTGTGCGTGCCAAGTCTTCGGCTGCGAGAGTGCAGGCGACACTATAAAAACTGCCATGGTTGGATGGTGCGGTGGTACATCTTCTTGGCCGGTCTGCCAAGTAGAGTCTGGATAGCTTGGACACATATCCCACTTGAGACAGTAGATCGCTGGTTCAAATCCAGTAAAACACAACCACTTTTCTCGCGGCGCTGGTATGCATGGATGACGAAGGCATGCTTGGATAACCTAAGGTTTTGAAATTCCCTTTGGTGGGTACTTACGGAGGAGGGTCGACTGTTTGTGTAAGCAAGCATACCTCATAGTGGTATTTGCGAATGAAATCCAGAGTATGAGTGTCTTTAATGTCAAAAGAGGCATCCAACATGTATACATAGCACCGGTCATGTGTCATAGCTTTATAGCTGAAAAAAAATTAAATGATTCAAAAAAAAAGGGCCAAGGTACACTGCAGCACGTAAATCCCCAAAAGTATATGCAGCAGTAGGTGTGATTAGCGCACTCGGGACATGTGTAGAGAGAGTCGATCCTGTCGGGCAACTCAGGGCAAACAGACGATGAGCGAGTCCTAAATTAGAGAGTCAGAATTTCCTACACCTAGTGGTGTATTTGGATGCTAGAGACTTAGTGAAGTGTATGGTAGTCATAGAAATAAAGGCAGACTAGGCCGTCCTGTACTTGATAGAGACCTCGGCCTATTCAGCCTTGTTCGGACAGAAAGATTGATGAGGATTGACCCTTTACAATGTCGACCAATTCATCTGGTATTGCGCAATTTGACTGTGCTTAGTACTGGTAAAATCCTTTAATTCTGGATTTTTGGAGGCGCCACTGACTATTATGCGGTCTCTTCCCGAAAATTCCCCAGTGCCATGCATAATCCCATTTTTCATGCACTAAAGCCTACGTTCACTCCGAGGATGTACACGATAGTTAGGTCTTCCATACCTCAAGATATATAAAGTTAACCCCTGCTCCCTCTATTATCCTATCTAACAGCATACCCCTTCCAAAGTTTCCCTTGATCAAACAACTCGAGGAGCTATTGGCCCTTTGTTATATACCTTCTACAACCAGCAAAAGAGTGTCACCTGCGTGTATATGGAAACCGGGAATTATCTTTCAAAAGACGCCAGGACAAGAAGTCAAGATTTAGTTATTTTTCCTAGGCACTCTTGGAGCCCGCTCAGCCCGGCACTGTGGGCCTGTCTACGAAAAAGAATCAATCTCTGCCTTCCTAGAATTAATTCAATTCTTCTCGTAAGTTATGCCCTGAGATGAATCAAAGGATGTGTTGAGATGATGGAAATTTCCAGACAGTGTATGTGCAATGAGGTAGCGTAGCCCAAATACTTTCTACAATTTTGGGTAGCGTATAATGTCGTAAACTCATCGACAATAGAAGCTCTCATAGCTATTGTTGGACTTAGGCTCAGCACTGCAGACTCTACATTCAGGTTTGGAGGTTTCTTGAGGACATCGCTGACATGTGTTTAGTTCTTGGCCCCCAGTTAATAAATTTAAAACAAAGAAAACTAGCTACCAAGCAGTTACCGTGTTTCAAATCGAATAATACCACTCGCATAGATAGGAGATTGTTTGCGCGCAGCTTACGATGCTTTGTCTTACAAATTGGGTCTCGTCGCTCTGAAAAAAAATTGACCGGCACTATGGTTTCGAGTATCACAGATAAGTAGAGCACAATTACCTTCATCTCTTTTCATAAAAGATCTCCTACTGGGAGACTTACCCTAGCAATAGCGAATAAATTACCCGCAGTTGTCAAATTTATGCATTTGAGCCAAACATCCGATGAAAAATTTATAACATCCTTAAGAAACCAGATTATTGATCAGTTAGTCTTCGATTCCTGACCAAAAGTATTCCTATCTTCAAAATTTTATGGAACGAGATTAGTCGAGCGCTACTCAGTAGTAGAAACAAACGCTACCCAGTTCGCTTAAGCACTTCACTACTAGAGTTCCGACGACTCTCGTAGACTAGGAGTCGGATTAATAATGGCGATGAGATACTTTCTGTTATTTTTGTGTTTCCCTGAAAAAATTTTCTACCATCGCGCCACAAGAATTATTAGAGTGGCATACGATAAAATTGAACCTCGTAATTACTCCTTGCATTATCATAATACATGTGAAATTGGCGTTGATGTCGATATCTTGTTTAGTACCAAGGTCAAGCTGAATATATGTCGACGTTACTTGAATAAATTTATAGATTGAACAGCAATGAATCCTCCATGTAATCGAGCTATTTTTTCCGTTTGACAACTGATATAGCTCCAAAAGTACTCTTTACCTTCAAGATAGCCTAGTATTGATATCTATCCTATTCTGAAGTGGATTTCTAGATAGCCTCTTGAACACTACCATTGCTAATTATCAAACTGAAGATGACAACAATTCGCGCAAGTTCCTCAAAAAATAGAAGTTAAAGAATATTATGACTCGGGAACATGTTGCGGTATCTCAGTTCTGGTAGAGACTTCCTAGTCCGTAGATACTACGAATATGCCTCGTCAACTAGTCTCAATTATACGAGTAAGTATCGCGTGAATCCGTGGAGATTACCCTTATCTAGTTCTTGAGTGATTATTTAAACAAGAGAGGATAATGATATGAAAGTAGCTCAGGGTATTGACCAGTCTATCTTTGTAAAAACATAAATTTTATAACTTGCAAAATTTCTTACCATAATTGTCATACTTTATTTACAAATATTTTTTCATTAACTTCGTAAATCTAAGTTTGAAGTAAAACACCTTTACCTTTTGTCTCATGGCTCGCGGATCGCAACAGTTCCCTCAGAGCTCCCTCAGCATTATGTGAAGTTATATTAGGGAGGTCGGTATGCCGACTCCATGGAAACCAGAAGTTTAGCACTCCTGAAATCGTTGACCTATCCTCAACTTCGAGTTGTTGTGAGTGAGAGGACGATTCTAGAGAAGTCAAAAAGGGTTTCAATATTATGTATGGGTCCATGTAGGTTGCTTGTTTATGACGGGGCGATATAATATCCAACTCTGGAGTCATAGAAGTACATGGTTGAGCCACATTTCCCATGAGACGAGCTTGCGGGATAAACTGATTTGATTTTTTTCTTTGGAGTCCATTTACACTATCAATGATAGTAGTAGCAAAGGAAGCTGACTTTGATCGCCTACGGTTGGATCTTTTTCCTTCAAGTGGTTCTGATACTGGGGAGTTATTCACATAACTTGTTGCTCGTTTCATTTTGTCTATTCTCTTTCCTTTTGTTGTCGAAATATCGGTTATGGTTGTTAATTTCTTCAGATTTTGTTCTTCAGATTTTCTCATTACTGATGCAGTTGTTTCTATGGTACCATATGCTATAGATCTAGAGAGTAGATGTTCTCTCGATTCTAGCCCTTGACCTCGAGATCGTTCATCGTTTAGTGTTACAGGAATTCCTATTATGTCGACTTTTTGAAGTAAAAGTTTGTCGCGTCTTTGAGGTTCCAGGTAAACATTACATTTGTTGTCAAGAATATTTTCAGCATAATTGCTTTTTATATTTGTGCATCCGTTTCTTGAATTGCTCTTCAACTTGTATTCCGGAAATCGCTCGACAGGGAGTAATTTTACGACTGTGGGATCAAAGGGCCTCACTGATGCTCCATCTTCATTGTTGCCCTTACGTTGAGCTCGACAATCCCTCTGCTGATCTTGTTTTGAGCTAGTTGTATCATTCGGTTTAGAGAGTTTGAGTGTAGCCTCAGCCGCTGCTGCCCGTTGCAATTTCCTTAGGCCGGATATTCGATCAACGAGCGTATCTTGACTGAAAATGCATTCTCCGATTGCCGCCTCACCTGATTCGAGAAGACTAGCACAGGAAGGGTTCACATCCCACATCTGAGATGAAGGTGAATGTTGTCGTGGAAAAAATGGAATAGGCTGTGATAGGTTTAGCTTTTGTGATGTTGCCGGTGTTAAACAACACTCTAAACGGCTATGCCACCATGACAGAGTCATACCATTCTACAGATCGTTTATCAAAAGCACTCGTTGTGAGCGGACATTGCGAATGAGTGAAATAGACTGAACTTTGTAGGGTGAGTCATGACACGCGCGGTGCCGTTGTTAGGATGATATTTTGCTACCAACCATCTAACCAATAATAGAAATATCGCGCAACGCGGGCATTTGAAATACGACAACGCATACAGATAACCTAAATGTAGCCATCATCCTACAATTTGCAATATGGTCCTACCTTCAGAGCATGACAAAGTTTCTAGAGTAACGACACTGAATTATGACAGCCCTTTTATTAAGATTCGGCAATTCGCCGACGATAAAATTTCATCACTACTTCAAGGAATTATTGGGCTACCTTCAGCTTTCTCACGGATGCAGACATATCATGGTCAATGGGACCATATGTCTGCGTCTCCACGAGATTTACTTGACAAAAATTTAAAGGAAAGGCATGAGGAATCTGATGAAACACCGATACCTGTGAAAAAATTCAACGGATCAACAAGCCCTTCCGAAAATAGAGATTTATTTCCTACAGCTCCTCACTTGGGAAATTATTTTCAAGTTGATGTACCTCTATACTCTCGTGTGTCAAAACCCCTATTTGCACAAATGCTGTCGCTTTCTGACACAAGAGTTGACTGGGCTTGGATTGATCGCTTTCAAACCTTTGACAATGGCAATCCAATTAAATTTTTATTACTTAATTCTATGCCTCCGGTATTCCCAATGACTATGGATGACAAAAACTCCAGTAGAACAGGGAATGTGAAGCTGAACCAAATTGCTTTGTTTAACGAATTGAGTAAATCGAGCAACTACGAGTCAAACTACTCCCTCTTACCTTATCTAGCATTTTCTCAATACTCGCCTTTGAACTTGACGATAAATGCAGAGACTGGCCAAAAAGACTCCACATTTCCCTATTGTCATGCCTTTCAAGATCTGATCGAGACAACTCTTAAAGCTTCTCAACCTTCGCTTGAAAATAATTGTAACCAACATACTATCCAAGAAAAGGGTAACATAAGACCAGAATACAGCGCTCGTGATTCCATAGAATGGATCAAAGAGTTAGACAGAAGGGGAATACTTCATCAAAAACAGACCGATTATAGCACGGAACTCATGCATTCAGACCCCATGGTGTCGGATCATTCTGAAGATAAGTACCCTCGGGGCCTCGAGACTGAATTGGACGTCTATGAATATCTCTCAAAATTTACTTCACAGCTTCAAACGACAGTAAATAGATTTCTTCATAGTGGAGAATCGCAAGATAATTTCTCCGCTGGACCAGCTGTTTCACCAGGAAAAAATTATGAAAGCCTATGGGAGGAAACTATTAAGCTTTTCAATCGAGAACGGGATCAGTACACTAAAGAACTGTCCTCTAAGAAGGAGACGTCTTCATGTGTTATGAAGACATCTAGCCCAGAAAATGGAACTGAACGTGTCATATCTTCACATACTATATCGAAACAGTACCCTGGAGAAGATGGGAAACCCTATACAATCATTGAGAGTAGTAAAACCTTTTCTGATGGTCACAAAGTTACATGGACAAAGCTACTTTGAAAGTGTCAAACCAAAGATGGTAGAAATAATTTATATAAACAGATTTTAGAGCAGGCAAATCCTTAGAGTCATATACGCATGCAAACAACACGATGAGAGCGTCAAAGAGGAGATATATTTTTAGAGGAGATTTTACTTTAGTACAAGCTCAAAGCCGCTTTAGCTAAACATGCTAGTCTGTTGGAATATCTCTATTTTCATCGAGTCAGATATAGGTACCTGGAAACATCCTTATTCGATTTTTTAGTAAAACGAGGATCTACGCGTTTTATGATAATCAAATATTACCATGAAAGACTAAGTACAGCGCAGACTTTATAACTGGGTTGAAATACTTTTAAAGATAATAAGTGTAGAGTTTAATCATTCTCTAATCTGTCTGATAGCGAGGGAATTCAATTATTGTCAGAGGTCCTTCCCAAGAGCGGATTTCCTAAGCTCTAGTCAAAAAGCTTCTCCGCGTCTGTTCTTGTTACTAATTCCTTTGCGTTGTTCTAGAATACGATAATAGAATCCTCAACGTATGGATTCAGGGACTAGAGTTCTGGTTAATGGCTTGGACCCGCTTCAAATCCATGTTGGAACAGTAGGCCTAGACTAGCTGATCAAAATATGACTGTTTTACGATAGAAATTTCAAAATTGGAGAAGCGTCATAAACTTAGCTGCACATATCCTCTGATATTCATAGACTTACATAGAAAGCGAACGTACCTAAATAAGTTGCCTATGTAACTAGTGACTTGCTCATTATATCTCAGGAAATCTAGCTGGTCTCTATTTTACATATCTCTTGATACGGAAGCAAGAATTTTGGACATATAAGGAATATTCTACCCAGCTAATTTCCATCTAGGGATCCCAAAACTAGAGATGCGCCTATGTCAATATTTTAGGAAATGCCGCTTGATGCAGCTTTGGTAACTACTAGTTAGCTTAGCGAAACTCAGTCGTTGTTTGGTATGCTACTTGATCACATAAGTGTTTACCGTTAAAACCGTTCAGAATATTACAGACATCAAAGTTTTCGAAAGCGTCTGCAGATAATTGACAAAGACATCTTGCATATCTAGACTCACTATTATCATGATCTCATTGGTAGATATTTTCATGTTTGCACAGTGTAAAACATAAAAGACAAGCTGGTCTAAGTGTCCGGAAAGGGCGTTTTGCAAGACGTTAAGAAAAGCTTCACACTCGATATTGTTGGAAATATCGCGCAATGTAATGGGCGCAATATTCATGGAACGAAAGTAGAAGTTGACTAAAAGAGTGTCATGTTCGGATTACAGCTAAAAGTGTGGGAAGTGTGCGCTACAAGTACAAGTGTAAGCGACACATAGCCTAAGCCACAGCATAAACGAGTGTGGCGCCATCTAGGCATAGAAAACCCCCAATAACCTCCTTACGCCCACACCATACAGCCGCTCATATGTCCATTAGGTAGCCTGAAGCGCTACCATATTACCTATTCCAACCTCTTAAATACACACGAGATCGTGTCGGGAACCTAGACGAAATGGAGGGCCCATACGTCCACAACACTCCGTGTCTCCATTTCCAACAGATATCCATCTTCTTTGGCTCAATAACTCCTAAGCCTTCTCCTACAGGATAGAGTATATACACGGGGTTTTACACCGTGGAAATTACAAGATTATGCCCTGGTCTGGGTTGATGAACAATTCCTGCGAGTCCCGTTTTGCTTGGCCAATTTTTTAGCTCTTGAGAGCTTTGAAAAGGATCTTCCCTTTTCTTGCTTACAGTTAGTCAATGTAATTTAAGTGACAGTATCTTTGTTTCATCTAAACTTAATGCCTTTCGTCTTGAGCCTAAAGTGCATTCTAATACATCCTAGACCTGATTTATTTGATATAGAAGATAATTTTTTGAGCACATATTGTATTCAGCTATCAATTTGTGACACTGAGTCAGGACTCTATGTTTACACGTGCCAACTCCCTATCTCCGCGCTAGTTTTCTTGCTGATTTTTAAATATAGGATTTTTCTTTACATAAAATTTACCACGGAAATGACAATAGTTTTCTATGTGTTAGTCTTCAATTCATCCTGGAGTCGAATAGGCGATGGAAAGAGACCCCCAGTCGATTAGGGAACGATGAAATTGTAGAAAATAACCAAGAGCCTCACCTATTGGCTTCCGGTGTCTCGCGATCCATTTGGCCTCTGGCTCCACCACTCGTCTCGACCGGAGTAGATATAACAAAAACTTATCCGTTGTATCCCCTACTCTCCTGGAGACAAAAGTTTCTTCCAGAGTCTAAATGAACTTGGGATAAAAGGGGGACTATTCTCAACACCTGTCAGTGGTGTCCCCTACGAACCACCAGCTCTCACTGTAGAGTCTGCAGAGCTGAGATTGAGTATCACATTTTCAATTTTGAGCTCAGTTATCTCCCCCTCCGTCAAAGATAAGCTTCCGATAACACATAAGACAACCAAGATGACGATAATGATGCTGGGTATGAGGAAGGATAATGCGGTACCATACGCTACAACGGTAGTCAGAGAAGCCCTCGTTATATTACAAAATGTGCTACCCAACGGCGGGCGAACTAAAATCCCACGAAAGCAAAACAAAATAACCTTCCACCCTCAAGAAAAGCAGATTTCGACTCGTCAAAAATATTGTCCATTATAACCTTTAATTCCGAATCTACTAGCCAGGAGAGCTTCTGAAATACATGAGTTATTCGACAACTCCGCGTCTGTAACGACTTTTGGATGCTAGGCTAGGCTCCTTTACGACAGTGACTCTCAACTAAGACTTTTCTGACATCCTTTCATAACCTTTGGTTTGTCCTGCGGCATGAATCATGGGAGGAGTAAGGAGGATGCTAGGAAGTTTGAGAGACACTCTTAGGTATACACAGGTCTACTGCGCCCGGAAGGCCGGCCTCCCCGTATAGAAGAACCCCGCATCCAGTGGTTTTTGCGACTTTTCCCAGCTGCCCTACACCCGCAAATGGCCATCGTTTCGTTGACTGGAGAGGGGAGATAATGAAGGGAAAGGGCTCCTCTAAGTGTATGATCGAATAAGGGCTTGTGAGGGGTGGTACCTTTTGAGGAAAGATTTTATAGAGAAAGGAGGGAATATGTTACCTATATTCGTATTCTTGGCCTGCAGTTAGAAACGACCTACACGTCTTATGTAATTGTAGAACACGAAAGGACAATGAGAGTAGTCAAAAACAAAATGTTACGGTTTGACCGTTGTTTATGCTTAGGTATTCACCTAAGCATAATGTTGAGAATTCTTACGATAAGACTGTATGGGGAAGAGATGAAGATTAACGAAACAGCAGTACTAATCAGGAGGCTGAACGTTATTACAACTTAGTGACACCTGGAAATACGTGGCTGGGTATAAGGTAATGTGCCTGGGGACAAGACACTAGTCTGTAGATTTACGAGGATAATCAACTCCCATAAATATCTGTTAGAAGTAGCTAAAGTTCTCTTTTCTCCTCATGTAGATTAAGCAATTGATTTATTTGTCACCAACTCGGTTTCCGTCACACAAGTGCGTTAAAGAATTCTGCTAGCGGATATTTTGAACAAAGGCCTGCGAATGGTGGTGCTGCAGAATGGAGGCAGAGATCATTTGTACTATGCAGTTCTTTGGTATTCAACACTCCATTTTGACGAAATCTAAACCGAATGACAATAGAGATTCAAAAACGATGTATCGGTATATGTTCATTCTCATATCAAAGGTGAGCACTGCTGTCGAGTGGTCACTACGAGGGTCGAACTCGCGACCTTGGCGTTATTAGCACCACGCTCTAACCAACTGAGCTAAGCGACCTTGTAGCTCATGGTCACTTTAGTATATATAAACTCTTTCACAAGCTTTACGTGTTATGGAACAAAACTGTCTATAACTCTGAGCATGATGATACTCTGCAATATGAAGAATAACATGGCCTGTCATTCAAGTCATAATGGGCTATAAGATATAAATAAGGAGATAATTCTAATATAAAAAGAGATGACTAGTCTAGAATAGATATGGGCATTGTGAATGTAGTCGGAAGCATCATCATACTAAAGTAAAGTCAACTGCGCGATGTATATATAGACGTGTCATATCCCTGTCCATCATTAACAATTCCGCACTACCATAAACACCATCCATCTCTGTTATCCATCGCAATCCTGAGTAACAATATAACTTACTGCTACACAGTATGTTTGTACTGGTTTATATCAAGAGAGAAATGTTAATATTACATACCAGCGTAGGCGATTGACACCGAAACTTTAGTTGGAAATAACCTGATATCTAAACTATTTGATTTGGGTTCTTTTGATTTGTATTCATTATCCTGATTTGGCGCCCTATGGGCGAATGCAGGTGGCTATAAACCTATCTATATATTTACATAGGAAGAAATCTCTCGGTAAAAACCTCCCCAGCTTCTTGATTTGTTTCTTCGAAATTTGCAATTTATCCTTCAGGAAGCACAGTTACACTGTAGTGCCGTCGGGTGACTATTCTCAACACCTGTCAGTGGTGTCCCCTACGAACCTCCAGCTCTCACTGTAGAGTCTGCAGAGCCGAGATTAAGTAACAAAGTCCTCACTTCGAAGAGGATTCCCAATCGCTTTCGCGGTCTGTATCGTCTTCATCTCTCAACACATTCCCCTATCACCACTATCATGAAGCTAACCACGATCAGATCAGATGGTAGGGTCGGAGCCCTACTCGTCACCCACCCTTGATCATGGAGGAAAAGCCATCCGATGAGTTTCCGGAGCGTACCCAGCACCCGATACGGAGATGGTGGATTGGATCAAGTCGACCTCGACTGTTACAAAGAAGGGAGATATAGATGAATATGCGCACCTCATGTGGTCCCGGTGTCTAGGCCTCGCCTGGCTGGGACTGCAGGTTTTTTGAGACTTTTTCCCGCGCACGCAGTTTCCATTGCTACCATTTTTATTTTTTTTGGGTAGAAGGTTCCGTGGAAAAGGTGGCTGAATTCCACGGGTAAATACTGAGCTGAATGGCTATTCATCAAGGGGAATATATCAATGATCTTTCAAGTAACAAAAGATGATAGGAGCACTGTACAAGGTGTGGCCTGGGTCAGAGAGGAGCCCAATGTGCTAGATAGTCTATGACTCAAGTAGTACAATAAAAACACACACACTGTAGTGCCGTCTGTATGTACCAATCACGTCCCCTGTAACGACTCCAACCTTGTGCCAGTCCTGCCTCGTTCCCTAATCAGCATTTCGACTGCATTTGTCATGCGGAATTGATCTATCCAACCATGGCTAAGAATCTATTGCGCAATTCTTTTAATATCACCAGGATTGTCTATCATTGCTTCACAGGACTGGTCTTTGGCTTGTCTCCAGATCTCACCCCTACCAATTGACCACTTAGGGCAGGACAAAATCATGTGCTTGGGATTTTGTGATTGGTAGCCACACGGACAGCATGGATCGTAGACTCCTGGTACTTTTCTTCAATGCAAATACGAATTGAGCCCGATATGCTAGCTTCGAATTTGGATTTTTTTTTTGCATCAGATTTTAATTGCGTATGCAGCTATCTAGCTACGACACAATATCAGAGAAAAGTACAGAAAAGATGACTCAATTTACAAGAGGAGCACTCATGCCTCGGATTTCATTTGCAAGTACCACTGCGAAGTTATGGCGGCTTTTTCTTCACACCAAGTCAACCCTCATCCGTAGATGCCCACCCAGGGGAACGTCTCAAAACCCCTGGGTTATCCAGACATGCCTCCGTCATCCATCAACCTTTCTCCGCGGGAAATGTGATCTGAGGTGTCTCCTTCCCAAGTGGAGTAGGTGCCCAGGCTACTCAAACTATACTAGAGAACATCACCAGGAGGCGGATCGCAACACCTTCCATCGTCGGCTTGTTTTTATAGTGTCAGCTGCACTCTCGCAAGCGAAGTCTTGGCGCGCACAAAGCTCAATCCGTAAAACTCCTTGCCAAAATTCGGTATCTCACGCCCTTCGACGTTGTATCCTTCCTTTGCATCATTTTTTCAACTTGTCCTGATCCCTCTCACGTCCATCCCAAAGAGCTATCTCCCAGATTTGTGCGCCACGCTTTGCTTCCTCCGTCGGGTATAAATATCGGCGTGGGCGTGTATTTGGTGACCGGCTGAGGCCAGAAAAGGTCGGAGAGAGGTGTGGTCATAGGTATGAGGATGTACTAGGTCGTACTTGTAGACTTGATGAAGCTTAGTTGAGAATCGGACTCATTGGGAGTGAAAGATTGACATGGTGGAGTAATTTTGATTTTTGCCTCGTAGGCCAACTTCTTTAATATTGCGAAATTTGACTGAACTTGGCTCTGGGAGAATATTTCACTCCCAGGTTCGTAGAGGACACCGCGTACAGGTGTTCAGTCTTGCCCTCCTCGAATTTGGATTGCTAAGCTACTTTGGCCCCTTGTCAGGTTTTTTTGGAGAGTAAGGGGAGTTTTCTGGAAACTTATTCTTTGACGTCCAGTATGTCGGCATTGATAGAACTTAGCTGCTTTCCTAGTTTTAGGATCTGCCATAGCAAGTTTTTGGGGCTGTTTTGATTTGGGTTCATTATTTAGATTAGGCTGCCAATTAGCCTATCGGCCTATGCAAATGTCCATGAATCATAATAGTTTCATGAGGGGAAACTGTTTTAATGTGTGGTCTATGGGGATTCCATTAGATTAGAGTGGTAGCTGTGTTGGGTAATATTCAGTGCACGAACACCTCAATCTTGTATATAGTAAATTCTTCTCATTGGATCAATACAGTCCCCAATACACAAAAATCAGATCATAAGCTTATCACATCCTACGCATAATGCTAAACAGGAGCTTCAGCCCATTGACTACCGTAAACTCATAACCACAACAGAAATACCTTGATGAAACGCCCAAACCTATTTGTTTCATGTCCTGTGTTTCCTTATTTTTCCCTCGGGAGACGCAGTGACATTTTAGTACCATTTACGTCGGCTATTTTTATTTTTATCAATCGACCCCAATTTTTTCCCCTCCAGTACCTTTCCTGGGCTACACTGCGACCACCTTTGCATTCTCGAGATGCTGCATCTATCTGTGATCTACAAACTACTGTGTAGTTATTTAAGTGTCACTAGAACCGTTTATCAATGGAATGAAGGACCGCTCTTTGGCTTGTCTCCAAATCTCTCCTATACAATTTGACCATCGAAGACTTGATATAATCATGCGCTTGAGGTTATGTGATTGATAGCCATATAGACAGCTTGGACTGTATACTCCGGGTACTTTTCCGTGTGAATACAAGTCGAGCCTCATGTGCTCACTTCGACTTTTTATTGCTGAACTACTTTGGTTCCTTGTCAGGTTCGGACGTGGAAGAATTGTGAGTTATGTTGACTCAAATTTAGTCGCTCAGGTTCTTAATTTTGGAAGAAGTTGGCAGCTATCCAAGTTTTGGGGTCAGCAGTGACAAGTTGTCGAAGCTTTTGAGTACATTTTGTTTGGACTAGGATATTAACCACTGTGGACATGCCATGACCTATGCCGCCTCCGAGCTCTCTTGAGCTGACAAGTCATATTATGGACGTCGATACTCGGTCCAAGTAATCCCTCCTGATCGCCAAAACAATAAGTTATCAATTCAAGGCAACTCATGGCCTAAACATATCCCTCCCTAGTCTAGCCACATTAATCAAAGATGCCATCAATCTAACACCAACTACTTTGTTGTGAACATTCATTTCAGGATCATCCATAGGCAGGTGGTCGAGATGATAGTTACAAACAGAATGTTTAGGGCACCCTTTACCGGGAAATCGTGAGCTTTTTGAAAACAGTATTCAATTAGTGGGTGAGTAGCCACATAAAGATCCATGGTGTAATTGATCGCGTTACTTTCTAAAGATTGTATCTAATCGTTTGGCAGCTAAATCGTTTGTTGCTAAATGCTCGGATACACGATACGACGTTAAGAAAGCCCTTTTCTGAATGCTCCAGTTGGGCTCCACTACGCCGCGAAATCCTACATGATCTAAGTAGAGGATCGGGGGGTTCTTGAGAGTCTACACGGTCATAACTACTAGATTGCAGCTCCAGACCTCGTCATAGGCAACTTTATGAGATGATTTCGCCACAGTCTAAGGTCTTGGTCTCATGGATCAAAATTGTTCCTCTTCAAGGTTCGATTTCAATTTTCACTTGAACCCCAGGTATCAAGTACTCGGCCATAGCTATTATTGTAAAACTTAGTAAGTGACAAGGTTAAAATCTTCCCACATGAACGCTGTCCAATAGAATAGTGCTCAACAGATCGTACATGTCCGCGCGCCCGATCCCCATCACTAGCAGAGCCTCATGCTACAGCCTTCTCCGAGTCAAGTGCGGGGCGGATCTCCTCTCGGCGGAGACATGCACATCTGCGAATAGCAATAGCTAGCAAACAAAAAATGGCTACGCCGCTCGAGCTATGGAATCTAACTTTAACCGATGTTAGTGCTATCTGTGGGTAAGACTGTCAGGCCAAGATTCCGGGGCTCTCCCATCCCCTTGGATAGTTGATAACGAGATGATTCTAGTTCGATATCGATCGCCTGCTGGCTCTGTGTCTTCCTGCCACAACTCGTTGATAATTTTCGGCGCGGCTCAACTGATGGCCTGTCAGTTCGCTTTGTGACGATATGGCTTGCGGGCGACATGTGTAATGTAGTGGGAGCCGTTCTCCAGGGAGTCTTGCCGACAATGGTAAGTCAACACCTCCTGGCCGTATTACAACGGTTGTGTTTATAGAATGGGTCATAATAATGCACTAGATTATCCTTGCAGTGTATTATGCATGTATGGACATCTTGCTTCTTGCTCAGATATTTTATTACCATGGAGTTACGTGGAGTGAAGACATGACTTGCTCATCTGGGCTTGAGCCTCATGATCAGAACTTTGAAACAACAACTCCTTCGGGAAAACCAGATGAACGTCAACGTCTACTTGCAGTCTGTAACGGTCCAGATCACTCCCAAAGCTCTTCACAACACTTGTCAGCTACGCATCTATCTCCGGTCGTTCCGTTCGTGCCCGAGGCCCAGCCCTTCACCCAAACTCGCTCCAGCCTACAAGTGACACTTGTCAATCTCAGTGCTGTGATAGCAGTTATTTTCATAGGCATAATGGGTTGGTATTTCTTCCAAACCCAAACAACTCGAGCCTCACCTTCGTCGGTTGAATTAACCTTCAACTTTTGGGGTCAAAGTTTCGGTTACCTTTGCGCCATTCTTTACCTATCATCTCGTCTACCCCAACTACTTCTCAACTACCGGCGTAAATCGACTGAGGGCATATCCATGCTTTTCTTTCTCTTTGCCTGTGTTGGAAATCTATGTACAGTGCTGTCTATCCTAATTTACGATCCACCATGCCGAGCAGGGGGTAGGCGGTGTGAAGACGACAGGCAATGGCGAGAGTACTGGCATTATGTGGTTGTCAATATTAGTTGGATTGTCGGAAGTGCCGGAACATTCTTGTTGGATTTGAGTGTTTTTACCCAATTTTGGCTCTATCGCGTAAATGGCGATTCGTCTAATCAAAGGCAATAAAATGTTGAAAATGAGTTATTATTAATTCCCTAAGGACTAGTTTTTCCACTAAAGAGAGGGCTAAATTTCATGAGACTAATCCTTAGCTTTCCCATTGGTCTCAAACTTTACTCGCAGAATTCGGCAAAGTGATATGTGTTGTATATATCCTGAGTTGGTTTACTTCGTCTAGCTCTCCACCGTGTAATTGTGAATAGTCTGTTTGCAGTTAAACTAAATCACCAATTTATCACATTACCTATGCCATGCAAGCTCTACATGTCTCTCTTTAGGAGGATCCTTCAGGTATTTCAATACTATACAATCCTAATAGAATATACCCTGAGATACTTTAACCCATTTAACACAATAGTCATATTAGTATCAGAGGAATGGGCAGGCACAAATTTAGGTTGGCAGGTAAATAGATAAGGATTCCAAGGTATCAATTTGCCTTGGAAAAATAGGCAAATTTCGGGCATTACCGCTAATAGTGCAGATAATTTCATCGACAGGAGTAATGAAGAAACTGGTTAGCTATATCATGGAAGGACAATGTAGCGCTGAAGATCCGAAGGGACAGCTCCAAGTAGATCCTTAGCTTCAAGCCATTTCCTAGAGAAGAGCCGGTCAGCATAACGATAGGCACCATCGCAGAGAATGGTGACCACAGTGTGACCGGGCCCCAATTTCTCGGCCACAGCTTTGGCCGCCACCACGTTGAGAGCCGAGCTAGCTCCGAGGTATAAACCTTCGTGATGCAGACAGCGATAAACCATTTCGATGCTCTTGTCATCGCTGATGTGCAGTGATCCATCCAGCAGTCCAATGTCGGGCTCAAGATTCCGAGTCACTCGACCTTGGCCAATACCTTCGGTAATGCTAGAGCCGGTTCGCTCGCATAGCTTCCCTCCTGATGTGATGTATGAATGCAACACGCTGCCGGGCGGGTCGGCGAGGTAACACTTCACTCTGCCATTAGACACCGTCTTCAGAAACCTTGTCGTGCCAGCTAAGGTTCCGCCGGTGCCTGTGGCACAGGTAAAGGCATCGACGCGGCCGTTAGTCTGGTGCCAGATCTCAGGTCCTGTTGTCTCAAGGTGCGCCTGGCGGTTCGCCACATTATCGAACTGATCCGTCCAGATGGCATTCTCTCCCCCGCGCACTAGCCGGTCCACATGTTGCTTGGCTTGATGGTTGTAGTTGGCGGAGTTGCTATATGCGACGGCAGGTACCGCATACACTTCGGCGCCGAGGAGACGAAGCAAGTCAACCTTACCCTGCGACTGTGTATCGGGCATGTATATGATAAGCCGGTATGCCTTGGCGCGACATACATGAGCCAAGCCGATACCCGTATTACCGGCTGTGCCTTCAATCACGCTTCCGCCCGCCTTCAAATATCCCTTCTCTTCGGCCGCACGAACGAGGTACAAGGCAGCGCGGTCCTTGACCGATCCGCCTGGATTCATGAACTCTGCCTTGCCCAAAACTTCGCATCCCGTCGCTTCTGATATGTGATTCAGTCGAAGGATTGGCGTATTGCCGATGGCTATGCAGCATGCATTAGTAATGACCAAAGTCTTTATCTGCACGCAGCCGACCTACCCCCCGTGAAGCCGCTTGCTATTCCTTGCGCCCGAGCCACAGCGCACACCGACTCTGCAGACCTTCTGGCCAATGTGCCGAAACGACGGGCCGGTTGACGCCACATAACATGAATCAGCCGACGTTGTGGAGTATGTGGTGATGTTGATGTTGTGCTCAGATGTTTAAGCACTGGTGACTATGGGCTTGGCCAAGCGGAGGTGCGGCACAAAATGTCATAACTGAGGGGGTCACAAGCTCGGTAATTTAGTCTTTTTAAGCAGTAGATGCCTCGGGCAGCAATGGCGGCTGCAGCCGACTAACCTAAAAGTAGCTTACTATTTTCGTTTTGTTTTGTTCGTTAACGTGCTAGGTTACTTGACTACCGTCGCACTCCTACTAGAGCTTAAGCACGTGTGGGGTCGGGCCGGATCAGATTAACCATCGTAAAGTACCATGGTGCCACGGTGTCGAGTTTGTAATGGGGCTTTGGCAGGGGTTTTAGCGTGTAAACTAACACTCCTTAGGCATAGTTACCTTCCATATTGGAGTTAGCCCCCGTATTTGTGCAAATTTTTGAAACATTTTGTATGGCAGTTTTTATCTGGACACCATAGTTTGCAGTGGGTCTTTCCTTCGTACTAAACCTAATTTGTATAATGATCGGCTGCATAACATTTGTGCATTTTTGCTACTTGACTTTATAACTTATTTACACGAGTTCAAAGGTTTTCAAATTACAAAATAGAGCCAGTCTTATCCTAACCTTAGATCTGAACATGTGGCTGGAATATTTTCAGGCCTTAATATCTGGTCGGTCCCCCATCCGTATCTACCACAGCCTGACATCTTGCTGGCATACTCTGAATGAGTCTCACAAGATCTTCGGAAGACACGGAATCCATGCCTCCTTTACATTGTTGCGAAGATTATCTTGAGTTCGCTGCTTTCCGCAACCCAGATTCGGATGATGACGCTGGATGTAGTCCTTCATCTAATTCCAAACAGCTTCAATCGGTTTAAGATCAGGCGAGTTGGCCGGCCAGAAAATCGGTTGAATGAGCCTCTGGCCCATATCTTCCATTGTAATTGCGGCTGTGTGGGCAGGAGCAATATCCTGCATTACGGAAAGCCAAGGTCGCATCAAGACCATGCCATCGATAAGAGGAACTATCTTCTCGCAATATTTTTGGGAGTTAATGGAACCCCATTCCTTCTCCCAAAACAAACAAGGGCCTTTTCTGGCTCTGCAAAGCAACCCCGGAACATCCAGCCAACCTTCTTCTTCGATTTTTCTCCAACACAATCAGCGTTGTATTCTTGGTATGTCTAGCTCATAATGTTAGAGCATCAAATTACCATCTTCTTATTGAGGAATGTACGAACACTTCTTGTCACCCATTCTCTAGAATGTCTTCCATCCTCTACCCAAGTTTCGTCTGTCCATAAAACTGACGTCCAATCTTCATATGTCCAATTGAGATGAGCTTCGGCCCCTTCTCTGCGTGTCTTCATAGTTTTCTGAGATACTGTAGGCTTTAGACGAGCCACATGTCGCTGATATCCTTTTTTTAAAGTTCTCTTTTTATTACCCGCTCGCTAACACCAAGATGTCTAAGGGGGCCAGAGGCGAGTTCCAGAAATGTTTTGCGGCAGTTTCCAGGTGGAGACTCAACGTAAGTTATAATCTGATCAATATCATCTGCTTTCAGCCTTGAGGATGTTCTTTTTCTCTTTTTGGGGAGACAGTTCCGCGGCGCAGTGAATAGCTAACTTGTCCCCGAGAGATGCCTAGTTGCGCGGCAATCTGCGTCTGGTTTTTGCCAGATTCATTGCCCCCATAAATCTTAAATTTTCTTTTAATTTATATTTGTTCATATCTAATTTTTCTACTTACTAAAATGTTTTGAATTGAATTCAATTAGTCTCGTTTAACGTCCTATGCGGTATCTATATACAGAACCATGAAGACGGTAAGCCGCTTTGGTAAGGGTAAAGCTTTCAACAAACAAAACCCGATGTCCTGCCACTTTGAACCGACCCGGCTTAATGCTGAGGACGTTCCTTTCAACCGCAATTATCTAAACTTTCCTCGAAATTCGTTAACTCCCCCTTCAATCAGACTAACGTTATGAGAAATTGAAAAGAGAAGGCACCTCCTCACTCGGCGTTGGTCTTCGAAGTGTTCGAAGAGTTGGTCCCGATGGCGGTGCTGCTGTCGAGGCGATTATTGGTGCCACTGGGGCTTCGACTACCTTGCGTGGTCGTCCCGGCCCTCTTTTGAGCCCTTCAGCCTTTTTACTGGTGTCCAAAGTAAATCCCTGATCATCAGTTGGTACGACTGTTTGTGTTGGCGCCACCATAGGTTTTTCATTCCATATTTCCGCCGTTCTCGATAGCAGCTTCATCCGAGCCTTCTTCACACTTCCCTTGTAGACCTGGTAGGTCCGACACGCTGCTTTCTGCCACGAGCGGATCTCCTTGCCGCTGTTTGCACAAAACCCCTTTTTTCGGACAGTGCCGAGTTTGGTGAGCGCCAGCGCACTCACCGCACCTAGCTGCCTTTCTACACGACGCCTGCGTGTGTCCCCACTGACGGCAGTTATAACAATGCTTTGGCTAGGATCATGGTGGCAACACCTGCGCGGTGTAGAGCATGGCGTTCATAACAAGGCTGTTTCGGACCACTTCCGTCTGTATTGCCTCCGATTGGAGGCTTACCACTATTGATCCACGAGTGTGGCCATTCTTCTTTGACCGCTAGTGTTCCTTTCCGTCGTGTAACCACCTTATACGACTTATTACTAAGCCTGGAATCCGTGCTTTTGTTGCCGTCTCTATCTCCCTGATGATAGCAAAATTGTTGGCCTCTCTGCCCCCTTCAATTCGTGTCCGCAATGGGACACCGTCTACCTCGACTGGAAAACCTTGCCGCAGAATTTTGAAGTCCGTTGGTTGTCGCATATTTAGCGCCACGTCTCTCTGGGACGCCGACTGGACGAACACCTCAGTGTCGTTGCTTCGCATTTGGCGAATCGCGTATGCGCCTTGAATGTGTTGTTGTGCCTTTGTTAGCAGCTCTTGTGGCTGCAAGTTTTGTGCGCCGTCAATTCTAATTCTGACCGCCGTTTTCGCCATTTGCGGAGCTACGACCGACGCGTAACTCCTTGCTGTCGGCGCGCCCGAAACCGCTGCTGGAGCAGCTTTCCGAGCGGGATTCACGAGGTTTTTCTTTACGACTTCCACTAAAGCCATCATCCTCTCCACGACAGGAGACTTCGTCCGGGACATTTCCGTCCAGGCCCTTTTGTGCGCGTTGAAGGCCTTGACGGCCTCGTTCACGTCCTCCATTGAGGGTAGGTCCTCCTCATCCACCTCTCCCATCACGATTAGTCTGACCTTTTTCAATAGTTTCCCTAGGATTTCAAGGCTCT